TATCACTTGTCGGCATTGGTTCTTCCTTCAAGATGGCTAAGTATGTAGGTCGCCGCTTCCTCATGCCCTTAGCAAGTTGCAAGGCCGAGATTTGCTTGGACTGAATCCTCTCCTCCCGTGATAGCTTTACCATGCAAGTCTCACCCTCCTTCATTATGCACATAGTGTTGGCAAACGGAATCGGTATTGCCTTCACCGAATCCATAAACTCCATGCCCAACACGATAGGATAGTCGTCCATAGGAACGACCGAAAAATCAATTAAGCCACTCCACTCGCCCAAGGTAACCCTAACCCCACGAGCCACTCCATAGATTGACTTAGGCTGTGAGTTAACAGCTTTCAGCCAACCATGGTCTTCAACATAGGGGATGCCCAATCTTTTTGCCTCCTTAACTTCTAAGAAGTTGTGAGAAGCACCAGTGTCAACAAGGGCTTTAGTAGTTTGTCCACGTACCTTAGCTTCCACGAACAAACGCCCCTTCTTCTCCGTCTTGGTCTCGGTTACCTTGGCCTTAATGGCGTTGAGAATGTGAAGGGAACCAACCATAGCTTCCTCCCGTTCTCGTTCCTCCCTTTCTTCAACTAAGGCCGAGAGCTTGGCCTTCTTTGGGCAATCCTTTGCCTTGTGTGGCCCATCACAAAAGAAGCACTTCAACGGTCTCTTCTCCCATGTTTTGGTCTCCTTTGCTCCCTTGCTCTTGTCAAAGTGTTGGAAACCCTCTTTGTGCGGACGGTGGTCTCCCCCACTCTTTTCCTTGCCCTTCTCCTTAGTCGGTGGCTTCACCTTCTCCGGCTTCTTGAACTCCACCAAGGACTCGGCAATAGCAATGGCAGTGTCGAGATCTTGAGCCCCACGCCTTTGGACCTCGATCTTAGCCCAACCTTGCAACCCATCCGTAAAAGCAAAGAAAGCTTCCTTATCAGGATAGTCAGGGATATCTAGGAGTACCTCAGTAAATTCCTTCACGTATTCACGCAGGCTTCCCTTGTGTTGCAAACGCCTTAGCTTAGCTCTCGCCTCCTCTTCCGCATTCATAGGGCTGAACTATTTCTTGAGTTCACTCTTGAACTCCTCCCACGTGTTTATAGTGCAAAGACCCTTCTCTCGGTCCCCGTACTTTCTTCTCCACCACAACATTGCGGTATCCTCCAAATACATGGTTGTCGTGTCGACCTTCTTGGTATCATCAACAATACCAAGAGCCTTGAAGTATTGCTCCATACTCCACACAAAGTTCTCTATCTCCTTAGCATTCCTAGCCCCTTTATAAGTCTTGGGTCTAGGAACATCAACCTTAGAGGGAGTAGGACTTACCTCACTCGACGATGTGCTTCCTCCTTGCACGACCGCCTTCTTGCATAGGACCAGCTCTTCCTTGGTTTCCACCAACTCGTTGGTGACCTTCTCCAACTCCTCCCGCAGTGAAGCAACCATGGTCATCAAAGTCCCCTCCAAGCTCTTGACCTCGGAAAGACACCGGTCGAGGATCTCATTGACCGCTCATTGCACCTCCCCTCGAAGATCTTCACTATTCTTCGCAAGTTCCACGATGCGTTGGTCGACTTCCTCAAACCTTTCTTCCCCATCGGCTATGGCAAGCTCCGCCTTGGCTAGCCGAGTCTCCACCTCCGTCATGGCTTCTCGAGACTTGGACCTTCCCCTTTTGGTTTGCTTCCCGGCATCCATGTGAGTTGTCTCGCTATCTGAACCGGCCATCTCTTCTCAAGGACACGAAACCAAAAACCTTGGCTCTGATACCAACTGTCACGGACTTATTCTCGAACCCGTGCGGCACTAGCAACACTCACTCAAACTATGCTAGTCAGCCTAACTCTTGCGGAAACTAGGACACCGGTTGTGGAGAAACTTGTATAAAGGCTTTATTGCTCTCAAGCTTTCGATGATACAAATGAGCCAGCCATGAAGGGTATTTATACTTGCCCTCCTCCTCAATGGATGGCTTAGATCTACTTGATCTAACGGCTACAATTCAATTCTAGAGTATTCTATACAACTCTATGATATTCTAGAGTATTCTACTCTATTCTATACAAGTGTATACTTATCTACATGAGTCTAGAATGTTCTCTTAGCCTCCAGGATTCTGCCCCTCTCTCTTAGGCATCTCTAGACTCCAACTCGCCTCCAGGTCTCGGTATGCCGCGGCCTATGCCACTCAATGCCGCGGCGTTCAGGAGAGTCGTGACAATACCCGCGCCGAACCGGTCAAAATGGGGAAAACCGCTTTTACTGGGTAACAAATACGGGGCGGGGAATACACGATTTATGTAAACGGGTAATGGGGTGGTTATGGGTTTATAACTACCCGCCCCATTACCCACCCCGTTTAATTTGGATATGGTTACCCGCACCATTACCCGACCCGCACAATTAACTTACATATTTTAATAGTTTATGTATTTATTATTTAATATATTAAGTATATATGAAAAGTAGTACATTAGTATATGACACTTATTCCCTCTAATTTTTTAAAAAATATTCAACTAATCGGCTATCCTTTGCAATTTTAAGGAGTTGGTGCTCAAAGTTCATTATTTTAGATTTTTAATTTTCAATATCATTCATCATCCTTCCTTTATTAACTTCTACTCCCTCCGTCCCTTAACACTTTTCCATCTTTCCTTTTTGGGACGTCCCAAAAAACTTTGACACTTTCCCTTTTAATCAATTATTTTGTGGTTTCTGTTATTTCTCTCTCATCTGCATAAACCTCAACCACACAGTTTTTACTTTATTATTCTCCGTGCCGGTCAACTTTGACAAAGTTTTAAGGGACGGAGGTAGTACAAGATTTATTTTCTTCACATATTGATTATTTGATTTTCGTGATTTTTTGTACACTATTTTCACATTGTGACTCTTAAGTTTCCACCCAATAACTTTCATAAAGCTCACATATGAGTTTAAAGCCCAAATATTGGGAAACATTACTCTAGATTGTTTTAATTTACGTAATTGCTAATAATTTTGTAGAGGTGTATTGGATGATTAGATTAATTTTGATTGGTTGCTCTAATTTATATCAATTTTAAATTTAAATTATGAGGTTTCTAAAAGAGTAACTACAAGAATACCTAAATCATAGTATTAGAAATACATTTTTTAGAAATACTTCCAAATCTATAATCAAATTAAAAGTTGTGTACAAAAGTGCGACTCTAGTCACTTTAGTATTTATAATTTTATTCAAAAAAAAGGATGACACCCCATCCCTGAGGACCCCCAACCCCGACCGGACGGTACGTTGGGAGGATGTAAATTGGACTATAATCTCAATCTGACAAATAGAGAGTGGAGCTCTGTCCCCGGTACTTGCAGAAGCTCTATGCATTTTTAGCATAGTAACCCCTCATCGCAGTTGCCGGGATTCTAACCCGGGACCTAACCCTTGTGGCACTCCCTTGCTACCAGTTGAGCTACGCCCACCGGTTATTCAAATGTTATATCATAGTGACTATAAAACTTATCCATGGTAACTTATGCTCACATTTATTATGTCCATATATTTTTATTAGTAATATTTCAGGAAAAAAATTCCATTTTCATTATGTTACTTGTATACACTATTGTTCTTAAATTTAGATGTTGAATTCTGGTGAGGTATGATTATTGAATTTTTGGAAGTTAAATGTTTTTGTGATTCATATGTAGATTTTACTATCGAGAGAAGACTTAATCTTTTGATGTTGATGTGGTAAGAGATTCATAATTTTGAATCTAGACATATATAATTTGTGAATATTAGGTTCAAACGATTGTAATTTTTTGTGATGTTTAAAAACTTTTTATGTAGTGCTATTTAATTTTGATTTTTTTAATTTAGGTGGTCAATTATAAGCCGTTAATCATCATTTTAGGATTTATACTAATTTTGAAGAAAAAATTATCTTTTAATAAAGCGATTACCCGCGGGAAAAACCGTTACCCGCGGATAAAAAATTACCCGACGAGTAACGGGGTGATTTCGGGGGAAAATATTATCAAATGGGGTGGGTACGGGTAATGGTATACCCGACCCCGAACCGCCTCGTTGCCATCCCTATTTGCAAACTTGCACAAAATTTTTAACCTGCTGATTTCACTAATCAAGACATTGTTTCACTTAAGTTTGAATTGATTCTTTACAAGCATGATATTGTTTCAACATCTCAAGTTTTGACATTTGTCGAGTTATGTCATGACTGAGTGTGAGAAACATAAGTTTATGTTATACTGACAAGATTAATTCGTCTTGTTTTGACTCCACCTGTTTCTACTACTACAAAGGAAAGATTGTTTTCAACAATGAAGCATGTGAAGACGGCACTTTGTAACAAAATGGGAGATATTTTCTTGAAGATTCGTTGATGATCTACATTGAACGAGATTTTGTCAATAATATAGATGTAGATTCTATGATTGATGAATTTTATACTTTGAAGTCGTGGAGGGCACAACTTAAATGAAGTTTTGATGAATATTTAAAGTGTTGATGTATTATAATGTATGTGTCTTCAAATTTTATTTCTTAGCCCACTCCATTGTAACTTTCTGAATCCGCTCCCGGTTGAGGTTATTTAAAAAGTAAAGGAAAAATGTTCAGGGCTATGAGGTTATCCGAAGAGGCAACAGAACGGAAAATGATGACATGGAAGGAATATAAAAGTACTTGTTTCGAAATACACCATCCAAAACTCTCTTTTGAATGAGGCACTTCATTTATGTAGATTGTGACTTTGACCCATGAGGATGATTTATTTGGACTCAAATATTCTGATCTGGTCTCGTCTGATATGATCTGGTTTGGGCAATGTTTGATCTCTTTGTATTTTACAATTATCAAAGTTTTGTCTGGTCCGAGATTGAAATAAATTCAAGTAAAAACTTATGTCTTATTTTCCAAGACTAAAAACAGCACTTCAAACAAATCTTTTTAGACATGGGGAGTGCATGATAATTGAAAGGATATTCATGTCCAGATTGTTTTGCACACCTGATTGAAGATCCAACATCTGAACCAACATAAAAGATATATTGATGCCAGCTACAGCAAAGGGATACTCCCATTCAGATCGTTTCCCATTTCGCTTTTGCAACAAGTTCTGGAATGATGTCTGACAAAAGAGAAAACATCACCTAACTTAGTGCATCATTCTTACACGTCCAAAAGAAAAGTTCAGAAGCACGTAATCAACGTATCAAACCATAGTCTTATTAGGCAATAGGAAAGACTTCAAAGTAATGATGGCAATATCATTTTGTGGAGGAGAAGTTGGCATAGTAAAAGACTTCAAACTTCAAAGCCATTTTTAATATGTCAATAAATAAAAGAGTCCTAAAGTATAAAAACATAACAAAGATGAATATAGTCAACAAACACATTTTGCAACGAGTAACCTCAGATGATTAAAAATCAAAGACACTGAAAAATAGAGTCAATACTATCAAGACATGCAATTCAATTTCCTCCCAGGCTCCCAGCAAGATGTCAATAAAAGTTCAGGAAACTGGAAAAGGTTCAAATAATTGTACGAATTCAAATCCATCACTTAAACCCCTATATGGAAAAGTATCATATAAATACGCTTACTTAAAAAACAATCAATTCGGCCAATTCACTTGTTTCTTAAAGATGAGTGTGACAGAGATGCGCATGCTGCGTTAGATGCGTAGACATACTAAAAAAGACCACTTGAGGAATGAGACAATCGGACAAAGGTGAGAGTAGCACTTATTGAAGATAAGATGCGGGAGTCTCGATTGCGATACTTTGATCATATGCGTATAAGACTGAGTGATGCATCTGTTAGAAAAGTTGAGAGGTGATGAGAAGAGGCGGGGAGGAGAAGGAGAGAAAGACCCAAACAGACGTGGATTAAAGGAGTATGACTTTGGAGAGACTAAAGTGGAGGACGAGTATTCGTGTGACGGATTAATCTCTTATCATTTTTTTTCTCTTTTATCTTCTTTATCTAACTTTTTAACTTCTTTGTTATATATATATATATATATATATATATATATATATAGGGGTGAGTTCACATACAAACCATGCTTAACTTACTAACCAACAAACTCAATAATATGCAATACTTTGAACTTCAATATGCAGTACAAATAATGTAAAGATGCACTCTTTGAATTTCAATATGCAATACAAATAATGTAAATACGAAACTGCTATTTTATGGTTTGAATAGTATGAAACACTTTGAACTTCAATGTGCAATACAAATAATGTAAAGATGATTTGAATGTTTACATTATTTGTACTGAAGTTTAAAGTGATGCGTATTATTGAGTTTGTAGGTTAGTATTTTAAGCATGATTTTTTGAAGTTGACTGCACCAAATTATACATAGAAAAACGCAGTCAACTATATATATATATATAGTTGACTGCGTTTTTCTATGTATAATTTGGTGCAGTCAACTTCAAAAAATCATTTGAAGGTCTTCCCTATCGAATTTTTAGCTGAAATTTGGTATGTATAAACTAAACTTGATGAAGAACATACCATAAAAATTTCATCAAAAAATTCCACCGGGAACTGCCCCGAACGGCGGTGTTCGGACGGCGCTTCAGGTCCGAACGTTCGGACCTGAACATTCTTGTGTGTGTGTGTATAAAGCGGTTCCGGTAAGAACGGACTCTCACGAGAGAAATGAGAATAAATCTGGACCGTTAGATTGTATCATGTAGAACTAAATTGTGCATTTGGTGATACTGAAATGTGCATTAGATGATATTGAAATGTGCAAAATAAAAATTTAAACTCAAGTGTGCATTAGGTGAAACTGAAATGTGCAGAATAAAAGGTATAAAAATAACATCACATCGTACCTTTTATTCTGCATATTTCAGATTCATCTCGTGCACATTTCAATTGCACTTAATGCACAATTCAGCTTCACATAATGTCACTGTATCGTACCATTTGTGCTGCACATTTCAATTTCACCTAATGCATATTACAATTATATATATATATATATAGGTTTTGGTTCAAATAAGAACATGATCTTAGGAGAGAAATGAGAAAGAATCTGGACTGTTGGATTTGCTTTAAGTGAAATTCAGTGTGCATTAGATGAAAATGTAATGTGCATTAGATGAAATTGAAATGTGCAGCACAAATGGTACGATGCAGAGACATTATGTGAAGTTGAATTGTGCATTAGGTGAAATTGCAATGTGCACTAGGTGAAACTGAAATGTGCAGAATAAAAGGTATGATGTGATGTTATTTTTGTACCTTTTATTCCGCACATTTCAGTTTCGCCTAATGCTCACTTGAGTTTAAATTTTTATTCTGCACATTTCTATATCATCTAATGCACATTTCAGTTTCACCAAATGCACAATTCAGTTCCACATAATACAATCCAACGGTCCAGATTCATTCTCATTTCTCTCCTAAGAGTCCGTTCTTACCGGGACCGCTCCCAAATGAGAATAACATCTCAGGAGAGAAATGAGAATGATTCTGGAGCGTTGGATTTGAGCATTGTGCATCATGTAAAACAGAAACGTGCATATAAAAAATTGGAAAATGTGCATTTCGTCTGTGCAAAATTTGAAACGTAAATGTGCACATTAGAGTTTTGCATTACTTTAACTATATAAATTCTTTTTATTCTTTTTTATCTTATCATTCTGAAGTATATATCCTATCTCTATTTTATACTTTTTTATCCTTTTTGCCACACCTTATCTTCTTATCTTTCTTTTTCTTTTGAGTTTTGACTCCGACATCATGTATTGAATTATCGATTCATGTCAGCTGACCGCAAAATCTTTTGGGACTAAAGCTTGGATGTTGTTATTGTTTATGTTTTATGCTTTTTGGAATTAATTGTATACTCTACATACTTTTCAATATTTGCACATTTTAATTTTATGTTTTGTTTTTTAAAAATATTAGCATTATTAAATTGTTGGCTTGGGAGTATGATGAAATAAAGCAAAATGACTCACTAAACCCCTCGTGGTTATAAAGAAGTTGTCCGTCCATGCAATTTTCGACGCAACAATAGGCTGAAATCCAATATTATTAATTGATAAGCAAGAATGAATCCTAACAAGGGGTTTAAATATCCATCTACTAATTCTCAATCTAGGAAACAAAATCATAGAAATCCTAATCAGCTCCAAACAGGAAACAGAATAATAAAATACATAATTAACTCCATATAGGAAATAAATAATAGAAATCCTAAATAACTCTAAATAGGAAACAAATCAGGAAAATTATAAAGAATATAAATTAATTAAACGGCCCGCAACCAACCCACGAACGTGGGCTCAAGCCAGTCCCCGCCTTCAGTAAACCCATGGAGGCCTCTACCTCTCTTCCTCCAAGCCCACCTCTTGCTTTATGTCAGATTTTCATCATGGGTCTGTAACAATCCCACACCGGTCAAGTATTGGCTTGACCGGTGGCTTATAAGCAAGATGTTCCCTCTTCCTAATCAGCTGGTCTTTAAGGAGTGAGTTCTACACTTGAGCTTATGACATTGGTATGGGCCTATTATGGTCCACGTTCGTAACAAATGGTATCAGAGCCATCCCCATATTTCTAGTCCCAACACTCAGAGTGGTGGTCTATGGAGTGGTGACTTGGCCCTAGGGGGGTGCCAACCGTAACCAACGTAAGCGTGACCAATGAGGATGTTAGCTCTTTGAAGTGTGGGGTATTGTAACGATCTCATACCGGTCAAGTATGAGCTAGACCGGTGGCTTATAAGCAATATGTTCCCTCCTCCTAATCCGCTGGTCTTTTAGGAGTGAGTTTTACACCTGGGCTCATGGCATTGGTATGGGCCTAGTATGGGCCAGGTTTGTAACAGGGTCATCGGAAACAACCTATGTGCTTTAGTACATGGGTAAAGCTGCATACATCCGACCCCCTACCCCACCGTAGGTGCCTTTGTGGCAGTGGGGTAATGTTGTTATTGTATTAGCATTTTTAAATAACTTATCTACCTTTAATATTTTTGGATAGTTTTATTTCTATATTTTTCAAAATTATACGAAGTACGAATTTTATCAATTTTCTTAACATATGTTTTCAAAATTGACCTGCTCCAGCAAGCCAAGATAAGATGACTGGATTATTATTTTTCAAGTTAAACGTTATCATATGATACTTTTTTAGTATAGGGCCTTAAGCGATGGATTTGATCGTAGAAGGGTGTATTTCAGTATTTGGACCTTTTCCCTAAAAATTCAAAACATGTTATGGACGCCTTTGTGGGTCTGACCTATCACCGCAGTTAGAAGCATGGAGCAGGCAGATATGCACACAGTTAGGCCATGCACCAAAAAGCAGACTTGGGGCGCAAGAAATCAGATATTATCTCTGAAGCTATATAAGGTTTATTATTTATTAGTTTACATAATAATTAACTTTTGGAGAACTATTTTATTGTGCTTCTTTGCCAATGTTAAAGGAAGGTAATGTCTCAGGAATATCTATTGGATAATCCATATGGGCTACTGTTTTTGTTAATTTCATTTGACAAACAAAGTGATACTTCAAGGTAAAAGAACACCTTTGACCTTTATATGAAGAATGAAGACAGGAAGAACTTAGTGTTCAGATCAGAGACATTAAAGCTAAAGTCTGGGTCCTCGTATTCAAATTTCTTATCCAAAACAAATTATCCTTTTAAAGGGGATAAAATAAAGGAAGCAAATAACAGAAAGGTTAAACACTTAAACCCTGACCATTAAGAGAAAGGAAAACTAACCGGGTATGCCTTGGCAAAGTATATCAAATTTTCCAATGATATGTAGCCTCCACCCCTGAACATTTACATTATTAAGCTTCCTGGATAATCCATCAGGCAACACCTAGTAGTGAGTTGCCATAACCTCATACCTGAAGTCTGTTGAAGGATCACATCCTTGCCAGCCCATGTCTTTCCAAAGTTCTGACTTAAGGGGTGGAAGCTCCCTATTCGGGTAAGCTAACTTCCACAGCTGTTTCAGTGCCTCCTGAAAGCAAAGTGCAAGTCCGCTCAAGATATGTAAAAGAATGCAAATAAAGGGTCATAAATAACCTCATAAGCTCAATAATACACTTGCGTATAAAAGTGTGTACTAGTGTTTGATGTGTTCATGTGCATCCCATAAATTACTTAACAAACTAGGCAACAATGTCCCTTGATGTTTGAAATTCAATGCCTAAAAAGCATGACATGATGAAAAGTTACGGAGATGGAACATGACAGTCTGAACAATGAAAGTGTTCATGGAACCCAAACTGCACTACTTTGACTGAATATTTATGTGGTCATAAGATGCCATGCATTTTTCATTATTAGTCCATCTTTGCTATTTATGAGAAGAGAAACATGAATGCAAATAAGAAATGCCTACTTGATGCTCCCCAAAAGAGCCATCAAAAGGAACTCCAACTCTTTGCTTCAGATGCTTTAACCTGGCCTCCTACAATAACAAAATCAAATTATTCAAAGAAAGACACCATTTATCCATATTTTGAGAGAAATAGATGAAAGCATTGAAAGGTGGTGAATTGTGAGTTTGAATAATATGAAAGATGGTGATGAAAGCATTGAAAGGTGGTGACACTTCGAAAGAGGTTTTTATTTCTTGAACTTGTTAATGTTGTTGATGGATTTACTCAAACGGGGTTATAATTTGCCACGATTGTCGGTCTAAATTGACTCGGACGGGGATGTTGATGGGATTATAATTAGTACCCATAGATTAAAAAGGGTCTAGGCAAAAACTCATAAGGCTCGAACAATATATTAATTACTAGGCATAGTTACAAAATACAAGGCTAGTAGTGTGTCCGTACAATGCTACAATACAGACGTACTGATGAGCAGTTGCAAGGTACATTTCTTCATTCAGAGTGCAAGTCTTCAAGACAAGGTATACTTGTGTTTGAGTACAAGGTAAGCAGTTAAATCGCTACTCAATAGCTACTCAATCAAAGTTTAAGAGTAATTACAAGCTATTCAGTCATGCAGCAGTAAATATATGCTACTAGTATGATATACTCCTTAATCTAATATTAGGTACTTAAAATTCTTTTAATTAGCATGTAATCAATCCTAACTTCTTATGTCCTTAGATAATATAATTTAGTTCAAGATTGGCATTATATTCAACTTCGTCTACGTCCACAAACACATATTGAGTGAGAATTTATAGTTTCAAGAACTACCAAACCTTAAAAAAGTCCCTACATTTTATTTGATCACATAATGGCGCAATTTTTATTTTCAACCTTTCACAATTAACTACAACAGATTAATCAGACTCGTGGAGTTGCAAAATCGCCAAACACTTGCTGAATAACTTGTATTTTTTGAAGGGACCGACTAGGTGGAAAACTCAGAAAGGTCTAGGACCAAGGGATGAGGTCTCAACGAGTACGCGCTGATTAATAACATAGAATACATGATAGCATGTACAACCGTACAAGTAATATAAATGTATTTTAGCAGACTGAACGAGTACACACTGATTAATAACATAAAGTACATGATAGCATCTACAAGTAATATAAATGCATTTTAGCAAAGAGTTGCTCCTGTGAGGCCAGCACCTCATCTCCGATTCTGTGATGGGTGGGGCCTAACATTTTTGTGCCTTGTGTCTTGACTCTAAAAACCTAAACTGCTTCAGAATGACTCACTCCTTTATAAGCTAAGACTTAACATTTGCAGCAATTTTCTATGAGCAAATCCACCTCAATGTATCTCTATCCAATACACGTCAGCTATTTAATTAGTGTAATTATGAATCCTGGAGGTTTCTAGTACGGCCCACCCAAGAAAATAAATCTCTTATTATATTCAACAAGCGCAACAACAACAAAAATTTTACATTGCTTTCCAATGAGGGACCCAACTTTGACGTATCTTTCTCCAAATTGGTAATTATAAACCTTTATAGAATGGCATCACATATGTAAATCCACAAAATGACAAAGTTGCATTTTTTGTCACCAAAAATTCATAAAAAGAGATTTGACTTTTTTTTAGTTAGTGACTTTTCTGATTATTGAAATCATCAATAAAAGCACACTTTCAATGGAAATTCAAAAAAATTCTGAAATGTTGATAAGTTGAACATTAACAGTCTAGTTTTAAGACTTATAAACTAAAATGTCTTATGATCTAAGGCATTCACCTAATTTCTTTTAGTTAGAGCTTACTAGTGCATGTCTAAAACAGGTACAAATATTTATAACCTAACAACTTAATTGGATACAACAAACAACAACAACATTCAAGCCTTAGTCCCAGAAGAATTTTGGGGTCGGCTAACATGAATCGATACATGATATCAGCACCAACAACATAATTGGATATCATCGTGAAATACCTGCAAGGGGTTGAGCAATGGAGGTAAAAGCCTGGTTGTAAGTCCACTTTGGGATACCATTGGCAAGAAGGGGAAAATCCATCCTAATAATGATCCTGTGCCGAAGACAATGCTTGCTGAAATTAAGAAGTTATTGTGCACTTATAGAAGATGTTCAAACGCAAGGATAAAAACATATTGAGTTCAATTTTTGAACTCATGCACTGAAGTTACAAGACATAACTGATGAGAAAATATTTTAAAAGATCCGTGCTTTTTTGTCGAACAGAGAGATATATGACAGAGCACAAAGTTGAAAAGTTGAACAACTAAAATAGAGAAACATACGACAATGAATGGAGGAGAATTAGTCCAGTGCCAATTGAATGGAACTGATTGTCTGATTCTTTAGATAACATGGGCTTCTTTTTCTCATGACATATATGCATTTGTCAGCTTTGTTAGTTTTTGGTCTAGAAAAACTCTAAAAAATGCAATGCTCCAAAAAAATCACATCACACTAGCATCTCATATTCTCACGAGCCTAAGATAGCAGGCAACCGTTACTCTAAATGCATTGCAACCACTCAGATAAGAAAAAACTAAAACCCACCTAACCACTGTGCCCACTGAGCAATTAGCTGTGAAAATAGTAGGGTCCAGTGGAGGTGTTCTTTCCTTCGCCCTTCATCCAAGATCTCCGCCAGGGAGCATCCCTGCGATGAAAGTTTTCATCATTTTAACTGGCCTTAACATTATTCACACAGCATATATAACATGACATCCATCACTGACAAACTTCACCAAGGAGAACTGAAAAACGCACCTCGGAATGGTCGTCGTCATAACTGGAGCGGTTATGTAATTTATAAGCACCAAGTAATGGCTTGTCCAAATCATCGTCGGAACTAAAGCTCTCGAATTGGTCGTCCCGTTTGCCGTCGAGGTCCCCGTGGTGGAGCCGTCGTCTCCGCAGAGTTGTAGAAGACATCTACTGTGTCTCCCAACTATTGCGCAATTGGAAAAATCTTCCGAATGATGGATGAGGAAACCTGAATATGAAGCAAGCCCCTCTTCAGCTCTGTCTGGGTGACTGGGGTGTAAGAATTGATCCCCGATAATCAAGAGGGGACCCGATCACACGTATAAGCACGTCGATCTTCAATGTTCGAAACTTCGAGCTGCCGTGCCAATCCTCTTTTTTTTTTTTTTTTTTTTTTTGTTTCACCCCACGCTAATACCTTGTCAAGTGAAAAGGCAATTCTTAATTATTTGGTAATTGTTTTAAATTTTTAATTTTTAATCCAATTTTTTTAAAAAAAAATATCAAAAAATTTTATTTTTCTAATATCTTTGATATGGTACCAATATTACATATAAAAAATTAAAAAGAAACCAATTAGAAATGAATATTTATAAATATACGATTTTTTGTCCAACTTTTTTGTATACAATATTAATATCATTGGAAAGATCTTAAAAAGTTATTAAATCTGATATATTTTTTTATAAAATTTGAACAATAAATAAAAAATTCAATTAACTTAAAGAAAAAGAGGGAATGGGAAGCCACATGACAACAAAGGAGGAAAGGGGGTGATGTTCACCCTCCTTAGAGGGGTGAACAAAATTGCACTCTCATATATGAGCCCTTTTGGAGGTCCTTTTTTGACTTATCAAATTTAACTTTTTCATTAATCACATAATTTTGATTTTGTGCGCGCTGAATTGTGTAATAATAAAAAAAAATAAGGTTGAAGTTACTTTTCTAGCTGTATTGACTGAATTTACTGTCCATTTTTCATATATATTTTCCTTTATTTTATTAATAAAATATTTATAAAATAGGTTTTTTCATAAATCGATAGAATTAGTCAATCCACCCACTTCAGCCATAACTTCATAAATTTCCGCAGAATCAGTCAATATAGCCGATTTAAGTATTATGATATTACCAAACGGGCTAATACAATTCCCTTTAACACTTGCACTATTCAGGCACATCACGATTTTCTAGATCAAACCATTAGATACAAAATGTTATGGAGTATTAAATTTTGTTCATTTGTTAAATATTAACATTTTATTACGTTTACTAATACATAATTAAATATAATTATTTACGTTGACAAACATAAATGTAAGATTGATACAACTATTAATGAATAGAAGATAGTACTTTAATTGTGCTAACTATCTCTTAAAAGTTTGTATCTTCACTTTTCATATTAATGTTGGTGAAGTTTTGACAATGATTTTAATTAGTATAATATTATAAAAATTATAGATTTTTACACATTTATGAAATTTGGAGGCATGCTTCAGAAATTTGGGTTAGCAAAGAAGGTGAGTTTGTCCGGCCTACCAACAAAAATAACAGCGACTAAACTGAAAAGTAATTACACTAGATTTAAATATTAGCTGGGTGGGCTAAATATGAAAAATGAAAAATTCACACTAAAAAATTGAGAGCTCGTTTGGTAACAGTGAAATTGGTTGAATCGGTTGATTCTACTTGGCTGAAGTGGTTGTATACTTGTATTTGCTAATCCTTTTGATTTATGAAAAACAAAACAAAATACTTTTCATTGATAAAATAAAGAAAATTATATGAAAACATCTAAAATTATCCTCTACAGTAACTTCAACCAATGCAGACAGAAAAGTCTTAGACTTCAGCATACCACAGCCGTACATAAGTCTCACTATCATGACTTGTTCCTCCCTATATCGTAACTTGTTTTTGCAGTGTTCTAGGATAATAATTAAAGGAAGAATTAATATCGACTTTTTCAAAATATCACGAGTAAACCTACATGAAATGTTGGGATGGGAGGCGGGGACACACCCTATCAGCTTATTAAAATGACAAGAACAAGAGTGCTAGACTGGAGTATGCCAATAAGTTATAAAATATTCAAACAATTAATAGCATCAAATTTAATGATACCTACAAATCGGTCATTCTATCTTTATTACTTAGGGCATCCTCATTCATGAGATTATTTGGGAATCATGTTGATTATGTGGAAGTTCTTTTTAGAGATTATGGATTAGTAGATGCGACTATTTTGAAAGATTATTTAGATAAAAATCTAGTATCAAATAATGAATCCTACATTAATCAAGATTATTCACAAGTTTCAATAAAAACATTTGATAGAGTATTAACTCTTAGAGAGAAGTGAGAGCTAGAGAGAGAAGTGCAATGAATATGCAATAAATATATTTGTCAACCCCTTACAACTACCCCCAATAGGAGTATTTATATGGAAAATATGGGTTGGGCTCCCAAGTCTTGGGCTTGGGAGGCCCATTTACAATGAGGCCACTATTGGGCCGAATACAGAGTATGTAATTTGACTAAGTATGAAATCTAGCTATTCGAAGTCTTTGTGGCTGATGGAGGTCTGACTGACGGAGACACGGCCGACGGAGACCCGGCCGATGGAGGACCCTCGGTTCTCCTAGAGTCTGGACCATATTCTGAGCAGATGTTTTGTCCGTCCGATGGAGGTCATCTGGCCGACGGAGGACCCACCTGATGACGGCTGTGTTTCCTCTTTAACTTCTGAGTAAGTGGGTGATGGGGTCTGGACCCATATACTCCATTAGGAGTCCCCCACTCTCTGAGCTGAGATGCAGACGAAGTGAAAGGGAGTAAATTCTTGTCTTGATGATTTCTTGGCCGATGCGGAACCGTAGTAGCTATTCCTTGTGCTTGGCCGTTGTGTGACCAAGTTGGGTATTCTTTGTTGGAGTTACAGGCGTTTTGCTCACTCAGCCATCGCGTAGTTCCTGTTTCCATGTCGTGGACGATGTGTGCTCTTATGTTTTGAGGACGATGAGTGTACTAAGGCTAGGGGACGATGAGTGTCTTTGTTTGTGAAGATGATGAGTGTGACCCCTGAGGACGTTACACGTGCTTTGGCCGTTGTGATGTTGTTCTCCTATCTTGGCCGGAGGTGGAACATGTGGGTTGAAGACATTGGCACTGATTTGTTTCCCTTCACAGTTTTTGGTTACCTTGCACAGCCGAGGGGGCACCGTAATTGTTTTTGGTGCTCCAGGCCGAAGCGGAACCATCAGTGGTTTGGTAGTTTGATTCGTAATATAGACGATGGAGGTCCTTATGGAGTGGATGTTGTGTGTCCATGGTTTTGAGGACGATGAACGTCCTGCCTTTGTGCCTTTGACTTTAGCTGAAGATGGATCACCTGCCTGTGGACGTTGAGTTGTCGATGCAATTTTACATGGTATCCTTGTCATTTTGGCCGAAAGTGGATCACATGGTTGAGGATGTTGTGATACCACTATCTCTGGCTTGTGGTCCTTTGTATTTTTTTGAACTTTTGCTTATCTTGGGATCTTTTGGAGCACGTGGAGGCCGATACAGTCCCCCCAGTCCCCCACTCCTTAAGGCCGAAGAGTAAGTGAGGGGTGAAGGAGTGAAGGTAACAACCCCAGGCCGAAGCGGAACCCCTTGGCGATTCCTGACCAAAGTTACCCTGTGGGAGAACCCTTGGACGCAGGTCGCAGACCCAAGGTTATCATCAATGGTTTGTACAATGGCCGATGGTTGTTAGGTGGTACCTTACTTGGGTTTTGGTCATTGGAGAGGCCATGTCGTCGCTGACTAGTTTGGCCGAAGTAGGCATGCATTTGTATGGGTTAGCCGTTGTGGTGTCATCAGCGGCCGTTAAGGTCTCTGATGATGTTTGTGGCCTGTTGGGCTGTTGAGTGGCCCTTTATTTCAGCCAATAAGGCCAGAGAAGGTGGACAACCTTGATACCTCGAACCGGTGGCAGTTGATTGGTTGTGGGGGAGGTGACCGTTGGTGTAGCCACTGTGGGGAGGCCACGTGTTAGTGACCGTTGGGAGGAGGTCTATAAATACTTCTCTCATCCGAGGCGAGGTCCTGACTTGCATTCTTGTGACAACAAAGTTGTAATACTTGAGATTTAATTCAAATGGATTAATAGTACTACTCATACCAACAAGGTACATCTCCTTTTAAGGGAGCTCATTAGCCAAGAACTCCAAAGTTAAGTGTGCTTGCACGAGAGTAGTCTTGGGAAGGGTGACCCCCTGGGGTGTTTCTCAGGGCGCGCACGAGTGAGGACAAAGTGCGCGGAAAAGGGTAGTGACGGTTTGTGAGGACAGTACTAGAGGTCAGGGGTAACTACCTCGGGTGGGCTAGGTGTTACAGGCTGCCGGATTTCCTAAAGAGAGAAATTGGTCCTTGGTGTTCTTTGCATCTTCATATCTTCCAAGGTCACTTCATCACTTGTTCCTCCTTGTTTCTCTATACTTTGCTTCCTTAGGCTTCGATCCAGTGTTAGTTAGGAAACTTCACTTAGATCCAAAGTATCTCCCCTTATGACTCGAATAACTGTTATGGCGAGTGTCTGGACGAAGAATACTACCCTTACGATGATGAAGGGGCCTCCACCAAATCTCTCGACCTTAGGATTGTAGAGGAATGTTGCGAGGAGATAGATGTCATGAGCCCATTCCGGTAAGGGAATCAACATGACAATGAGGAGAGTGCAGATGAGGATGCTGCCTCGTCATCGTCAGGTGAAGACATTGGGGCTTCGCATGTGGGAGATGGGGCTTCCACGTCGGCCACTATTTCGTGTCCTGATCCCCTCTCTGCCGTCAAGGGGAAAGCTCCAGTAGCAGACGTTCGGCTGAAGAGGAAACGAAGACCGAAGAAAGGTCCAGACATTTCTTTCCTGGATCTCACCAACTTGTATATTTTAAAGCCGGAGAGCAACGCGGGTGAGTACTACATCGCCGAGATGTACGTGGGGCTGTATAGAAGGGTTAGGGTGTCACGCCCCGGACCGCGTCCGAGCCACGTAGACAACCGCCGTACAACCCGATAAGAACAACAACAGTTCATCCCCATTGAGTTGTACAAGGCGTCCGATTGATTCTATTGCCAAACCGATTAGTAAACACATACAATCAACATCAATATCATAATCAAACAAATGCGGAAAATAATAAAATGTTTGATACTTAGCCACACGTGGCAAACACGGGCACGCAGGCCCCCAACTGTTTTAATGAAAACATTGTTCAAAAATCCATGAGCAGTTTATACATTTGAAATATGAATGGAAGCACGAACCACGTCTTCCTCCTCGAATGATCACCCTAGGCAAAGGTGCAGGTAGTAGG